TGGTCATGATTCATGTATAAATTCTTATCGAAATCCATTATCAAAATTAAAACTCGACGTATTACAACGAGTAAATATTTGTAAAAAAAAAACACTTTCTATTTTTCTTCTCATTTTTTTAGGCTTCAAGTGCTGAACCAATGATGACTCGAGAATTGACTAGTGTATGTAAATTCTTTGTGAATATTATTCATATGTAGAATCTTTCTTTTTTTTTATTATTATTATTTAGACTCCTATTCGTGATAAACAACAACAATCAACAATAATGCGAACACTTCCATCCGATGAACGAATTGATCGTGCATGTAACAATAAAAAAAAAAAAAAAAAAGAATAAAATTTAATAAGATATTTATAATTATTTTATATATTTAGATGATCAAAGTGGTTATATATCTGATGGACCAAGTCAAAAATATTCAATTTATAAAAAATCTTCAGCAACAAATTTAGATAAAAATAAATCATCAAGTGCAAAAGGATTAAAAAGTATATTTGGAAGGTAAAACTAAAACAAAACAAAAAAGAAACTATTATTTAAAAAAAAAATACAATTTATTCTCAATAATTTAGAATCATTCGTACTAACTCAGGAAATTTTCGTGAAGATAATGAATCTCAAGTACAAAGTTCATTTCATCGTGGTGGTTTAAGAGCAACAACTAATAGTGGAAAAACATCAATTAAACCACTCAGGTAATGAAAAATAATATTATATTAAAGTCTTTCAATTCATTAGATTTCGGGATATTGGACCAAGTATGATTAAGTCATGTGAATACATCCTTGATTGGTTGCTTAAGTATTTCTTTCGTCCTTCTCATGTTTACTTATGAGAGAATAGTTTCAACTGATTAATCGTTTTCTCAACAAAAACTACTGAATGGCAGGTTATCGATCATCTTGACTCCGAATATGAACATAAGAAATTGTCTTAGGTCTTTATATGTCAATTTTCTAGACTAATGAAAATATTACCGAAATTATTTTGCATTTCCTTAAATTATATAGTGTAGCGAATTATCTTTGTAATAAATGAGTTTTAGGTAAAATAATATCCTCTTGAAGATTTTCACATTGAAATATTGATATATATCTATTGAATGAATTAGAATGATTGTATTTTCTCCAAAACAAAACGATTTGAAACAAAAAGTTACTGTTTTGTAAGCAATTCAATATGCTTTACAATCCGGATAGATTCAAAAATAAAATTTTTCGCGAGAAGTTTGCCAGTCCGGGAAACCAACATATGAAGATGTAAGGAGAATTTTCATTCAAATATTCGGAGTCAACATGGTCGATAACGTATTTTTCAATAACTTTCGAAGAAAAATTGATTAATCAGTTTAAACAGTTCCGTGATTAGTAACATATAGATAAATCTTATCAATCATTACATATGAGCCACGATCTACTTGCATGAAGAATTGCTTAATGAAGTTCATAGATGGATGGAAAATCTATTCTATCTTTGTGAATATGTTGTTTTAGGTATAGAACCAAATCATTAACCTTATTAGAAAATCTTCTTGTTGTGATATTAGAATTTTTCAAACAATTTTTCATGGAGCGATCATAGAAAAGAATCACTTTTCTAACAGATTTTCTTTGATGAAATCAATAAGATATTGTTCAAAGTTAGTTTAAAAATACTATTGAGTTAAGGATTGCTTAATAACCCAAGCAAAAGTTTAGAATCTTTATGCGAGTAGAATTGGTCGTGGTATACATATAATGACTGTTATACAAGATGACTCTTATCGATTGAAAAGAAGTTAAAAAGTACTTTTTTTTGGAAAGTTATAGTTCTTCAATTGAGAGAACTAAAATATGTTTTTAATTTCTTTTGAACAGATACGAAATAGCGATGTTCACTTTATTCTAAGATAATCCTACCGTTTTGTAGAAAACTAAACAAAATATAATTAAGTAAAACACTCAAAAATTCAAAGCCTTCTGTGTGACGAAAATTGACTTTTTTTTGCAATAAGTGTGGATGGGCTTCAATATAAATAAGTATATTATATCTATGTATTTTTCTTATTTTTAGTGCTTTAGAAACAACATTTTCTCGTTGGCAAACTGAACAAGTTGTAAATTGGTTATATGGTATTGGTCTTGGTCAATATGCAAGTGAATGTCGTAAACATTTTAAAAATGGATTACAATTGTTACATGCAACACCACAAGAGTTAGAAAAAGTATTATAAAAATAACTTGAATATATATTTAATAAATAATTTTCTTTTAATAAATTTTAAGAAAATAGGCATGCGTAATCCATTACATCGTAAAAAACTTCAATTATGTTTAAATGGTTTATGTACACGACAAACTGAAGCAAATATTCTTGATACACATTGGGTTCAAAGTATATATATATATAGATACATTAATTAAAACTAATTATTAATAATTTAATTATTATTTTTCTTTTAAAGAATGGCTTGATGATATTGGTTTACCACAATATAAAGAATATTTTGCTGAATCAAAAGTTGATGGACGTTTACTTAATAATTTAACTCTTGTAAGAAAAAAACAATTTTTTTCTTAATTAATTTTCTTCTTCAATTGTTTGTTTATTTTTTCTATTAAAGGAAGATATTATTTATTTAAATATAACAAATGAACTTCATCATTTAAGTATAAAACGTGCTATACAAGTTTTACGTTTAAATGGTTTTAATCCAACATGTATAAAACGACGTCCAAGTCCAGATGATAAAAATGATATGACTGAAATTATGCATTGGTCAAATCATCGTGTTATGGAATGGTTAAGATCAATTGATTTATCTGAATATGCACCAAATTTACGTGGATCAGGTGTTTGTGGTGCTTTAATTGTAAGAAATAGCAAAAATTCTTTATTTAAGAAGAGTTAAAAATAAAAATTATCGATTTTTCTTTTAGATTCTTGAATTACGTTTTAATGCATCGACATTAGCAGAAATATTATCCATACCAATGTCAAAAACATTATTAAGACGACATTTAACAATGCGTTATCAAGAATTAATTGGTAATGATTTACAAAATCGTAAAAATCAATATGAAAAATCACCAAATTATCAATCCTTAACACCACATACAAAAATTAAAATTTCACGAGGTTTATTTTCTCATCGCCGAACACGTTCAATTGAAGCTGATGATCTAGTTTGTCCAATGAATGAAAATGGCATTCCGAATGGTATATCACCCAGTCTTAAAGTAAATCATTGGATTATTTTTTTTCTTTTTCGTTCGTTTATTTTTTTGCTCTTTTATCAATGTTTTAATTATATAATTTAGCGTTTTCAACGAAAAGAATCAACATTGGCTGATACTATTGAGGACGAAGTGGGTTTATATCTTGCTGCTCATTTCGAAAAAAAAAAAATATATATATATCTGATTTGCATGAGTGATTTATTTGGAGAGCATGAGAAAATAACTTTTCTTTACTATTGGGTTGTTGGGATTTAAATTGAAATTTTTTTTCCTTAAATAGAATTATAAATTTTTGTTTTTGTTTTAGCTTGTTCTCGCTCACGATAGTCCAACGACGGTTGTCTAGCAAATTGAAAAGTCAAATGTTTTTATTTACAAAGCCATTTATGCTCATTGTATAAACATAAAAATTCTTTTTTTTTCTGTGTGCCATTCTTACTTTCGTTCTATCAATTGTATCTATATCGTAGAATATTGCTTTGAATAAAAAAAACAATATTGTTTCTTTTTTTTTTCTATAAATAAAATCAGTAACGTTATTAATTATCACTTCTTAATAAGTATCTTTGTTTTACTAGCAAGCCAAATTGGACCATTAACCATTCATAGATGGTTCATTAGTAGTTTTATGCAGAAGAGTGAGGTTAGTTTCTCAGCAGCAAACTCAAGCGAAATTTTGAATACGGGAGATAGCTTCGAGACGAAAACATTATAAGAAAAACTATTGAAACTTTAAAGGGCTTTCGATGCGTTTTCAGTATATCTATAGTAGTCTAATATTTGACTAGATTGTAGAAAGTTTTGAAAATATTCTGAGTCCAATAATGTCTTCATTAGAAAGAGTATTTAATTTTGCATCATTTCATATAATTTTATTACGTCCCATCTAACATCAATTTGACCTATTTGAATGTTTTTTCCATGCGAGCCGCCTTCGCTCATATACCCATTCGATAGAGCAAAGAAGGAGCTACAAAGTGATATATATACATAACTCATTTGAATTCGGATTGGTCCAAGATATCTAAAATGCATTACAATGTTCGAGGAGGGGGAGGGGGTGAGATGCCTAGATGTGCGGTAAGCTCGATGCCGAATAATCAATATCAATAAAATTAATGAATATCCTCTCGATGACATGTATCATAGAGAGAAACAAACAAATATTAGACGGTATTCGAGTTTCACTTGAATACGAAATGCGGTGCGAAGCATGAATATCGATTTTCGATAAAAAAACGACATCGAACACAAAAAGATTAATCGTTCTAGTATATTGGAACTCATAGATTCATATGTGATATCAGTTTTCGTAAAAACTTTTATCAGGCAGTTTTGAGCTGCAATAAATGTTATAATTCTTTTATACTGATTATCACTAACGTATAATAAATATAATACAACTGACTTCTATGGGAAAATTTTCTAAAATCTGAAGTTCTACTAAGAAATGTTTCTATCTACATAATGTTCATTTATGTGTTATACTTTATTCTGAAGTGCACCACACTTTGAAAAATTTTTGACACGCTTACTTATAATAAATTTTCATGCATTAGAAATATAGATAAATTTCTGATCAAGGATAATATAAAAGAAAAATTAAATTTTCTTTCAAAAAACCATGAAGTCAAAGGGTTAATCAAGATTGGGTTTGTGATGGAGGTAGGAGGTTTCATCGGTAGTTTTTTTTCTTAATGAATTATAATAAAATACTTCTATTTTAGATAATGATTGTCTTGATAATAGGTAATCAATAAAAAATATCAACATATTTTATGATTCCATTTTTTTTATTGAGTGATGAAACATTTGAATTATGTCGAACAGTACCTTGTAATTCAACAAATCGTTTTCGGTATGAGAATTTTTTTCTTTTTTCTGTCGATAAGAAGAAAACAGAAACACATCTTTTGTGAAACACAATCTAAAAGAAGTGTTGAAATATAGGAGTAAAAATTTGGATCCATTCCACGGACCATATGTCGATAACGTCTCGTCACAAGTATCTTCCCCAAATGTTCCTGGTTGATTTGTTCCAACTTAGTTTTTCCGAATTTGGCCCACGCTAAGAAAACTCAGCCCGTTCCTAATTAAGCTCTTATTCGCCAACTAAGATGTAGGTCTCGATTTGGGGAGAATTAAGTAAAAGGATAAAGAAGAAATATGTTCCAAAATAGAAAAAAAATAAAACACTCTTTCTGTTATTATCAACAGCATTTATATCGCGTTTTATATTTTAATTTGATTTAAAGATGTACAAATGGTCGATATATCTATCGATGCGATGTATGTGATCACACAGATAATTGTGATGATGGTAGTGATGAAGATATTTATGATGTATACACAATCAAATCGACTAGTAAATATGTCCAGAATTTCATTGTACTCATACAAATCGTTGTATCGATATTCAGATTTATGTGATGAAAGTAAATATTTATAAAACAAAATAATTTTGATTAATTTCTTATTAATTTAGCTAATTTAGCTGATGATTGTGGTGATGAATGAGATGAATTATCATGTCGTCATAATATAACAAATAACATGTGCTAATCAAACAAATCATTGTGATTAACGATGTCATGATTTACCAAATGGATGAGGAATTGTTTGTCCATGTAATACACGTTATAAATATAATAAAGAATCATTTAAATGTGAAGATATAAATGAATATGAAAATGTTACTTTAAATTATTGTTCACAAATATGTGTTTATAAAAGAGGTAGTTTTTGATGTGAATGTGCAACTGGTTTTCAACGAAGTGTAGTTAATAGATCGGATTGTCATGTAGGAGGTAAAATTTTTTATTAAAAAAAAACAAAACTATTGAATTCCTACGTAGACATTTGAGAAAGTATAGAGTTTCATTATAAATGTCGAAAGATAAAAAAAAATTAAATCAGGAAGTCTTATTCTCTCATGATTGAATGCAAATAATTTTTTTTTAGGGTCATAATCTCGTTTTCGACTCAATCGTTAATGATCACATACCTTCATAATTATATTTTATTTTTTAGAATTTTAATACAAAAACAAATATTTTTATTTATCTTTTCTTTTTTATTGTACAGATCAAACAATTGATCTTATGATATGTGAACCTGATGAAATTGGTCGTCTTTGTCGAAATCCAATAGAAAATGCATCACATTATGATATATTTGTTGAAGATCAACATGATACTAGTTTTATTTCTATTGATATAAATAATCGTATATTCTATTGGATAGGTGAAGCTACATCAAAAATTTATCGTGCACATCTTACACCAAATACAATATCAACAGTACATCCACAAGCACTTTTAAACGAAGATAATAATCATTTAATAATTCCAAGTAGTATTGCTATTGATTGGATTAGTCAAAATCTTTATGTTTCTGATCTTATTCATAATTGTATATAGATTTTAAAAAATGATGAACGTTATGCAACTAAATTAATAACAAATATTGAATCATCAAGGGTTATTGCTGTTAATCCAATACTTGAAGTACTTTATTTTATTAATTATGAACTCGGACCTATGAATAATTCTAATGGACGTATTGTTGCTATTGAATTAGCTTATATGAATGATAAAAACTGCAGTCTTCTGTCTAGTTCCTGCCAAACATTTATTCCAAAAATATCCATTCACCTTTTGCTTTTCTTCGAAATGAGCATTCGTTGCTATTATCGTCGCGTATCATAGCAAACAGTTTTTTATCGAAATTTTATTATTATGATGTTAGTTGAATAATCATGAAATATTGCAAACATATAGAGCATTTCTTGTACTATCAGTACTTATAGAATGAAAGTTTTCTCAAACATTCTATTCCGCAGTAAAGAGTCATCGCTGCTACTTTTCGAATGCCCTAAGTAAACCAATGAATAGAGTACGTGCTTGTGATCTTCATATCACTAATATTTAGGAATGTTGCCTTTCGTGGAAGCAGACTAGTTGAATCTTTAAACCGACGATTGTGAACAATAAGTAAAAGATCGTTAATTTGAAGACTGAATATAAAATTTACTATTTATCTGTATTTTATATCATTAATTATTCTGATACAAGTTTGTAGAAAAGAAATGAAAGGTATATGCATATATTATAGTTTGGATGTGGATGAGAACGAGGTCCCTATTCTATCCACACTCTCATTCAATATTTGTTAATAAGTTTGAACTAAAAAACTTTTGCTATTTTAATTGTTTGTCTTTCTTTGTATTTTCCTGTGCATCAAAAAAAAACAAGAAAAACTTCGATTTCATCGAATCAAAATTGAAATTTTAGATTTGACTCAAATATCTTTAATGAAAAAAGAAAAAAATACACTTTTTAGTCATTGATCTGAATCGATCGACTCTTCTCTAGTTCAAACTTTGATCGATTATCGAAAACGTCATAGAAATCGATGATGTGATCATTGCGTTTATTTTAGAAACAGATCATATAGAGGTGTGGCAAAAATTATCCGTACAATTTTGATAATAACGACATTTTTCGTTCTTCAGGATTTCAAAACATTTAATTATGAAGTCATTAAATGCTGGAAAGAATAAGTGACACGTTCGTACCATTTTCTTTGAAATGCAATTCTAGTTAGTGCATAAGTAGATTTAGTTAATAAAAAATTGCGGATCTTTATTTTGAGAGACTTCTGCAAGAGAATTGAAAATCGAATTTTTTTTTTCAAACAAATATAATTTCCACGTATACGATAATGAGAATAATAGATATTTTCTATTCTGTTATCAAAACCATACGGATAATTTTTGTCGCATCTGTGAGTGTCTCATATCATAGTTAACAAATGATAGAAATCATATCATTACAATTTAACAATGATCGAAACTAATTATTGATGATAATCGATCTATGTTGTGTTCATTTTTAAACTCAATTTATTTTTGTTACTTAACTACATTTTATTTAATCCTAGTTGGATTACATTTAACCTGAAATTATTTTCAAACTATAATATTGAATAAAGAAAAGACACGAAAAGACAATTAAAGATAATGAATTTCGATTGCTATTTGATTTTCCATATAATTTTATATTCCATGTTTGTCGTAAAACTTCTCGAGCTATTTGACATTCACGTGCTTCCCATTTGTCACTACACATAATTAAAATTAATTCTTCTGGATCATCTTTACATGCATAATCAAAGCCATGGCTTCGAACTAATTTTTCTAAATCAAGAAGACTTTTTTCACCACATTTTTCTCTATTGAAAATTAAACCAAAAAGAAAGATTTATACTTTTTTAATGAAATAAAATAATGAATAAACATACACAGCTATTTCATCAGGTGAATGTAAAACAAGAGTATTGACTTTTGTAACACGGTATGTACCATTTCGGCGTAAATTAGGAAGTTCAAAAGAAGAAAAAAAAGAATTATTACGAAATGCTGATTTACCATGTGCTTGGCTTCCATTTAAAACAACATAAATTTCACCGACTGCTAATTGTGCAAACTAACATAATGAAAAAACAAGAAACAAAAATTTCAATGAAATTAAATCATATTTTTTTCTTTTATATTACCGTTTTTGATGCCAATCCCCAAAAAGCCAAATCAGCCCATTGATTACTTTTACAAGTATATGGACAACTAACAAAATCAAAACCTTCCGTATCATTTTCTTTTCCACACCATATAAGACCATCAACCATAGCTGCTGCCAGCGTATCTTCTAAAGTTACATAATTGCGACCATTACCACTATAAGTATGAGTAATAGCATATGTACCACTCCAAAACATTGCCTAATATGAAAAATAAATGAAATTTTAAAAAAAACAGAAAAAAATTTCATTAATTATTTACTTACCCGATTAATGACATGTACGCCATCGAGTGCTAGATCAAAGTAACGTTCATATGTACTCATATTCATATTACAGTATGATTTATATCGAACTGCTGATTCAAATACTTCATAAAGTTTTGTACAATTTTTTATGCTACTTAAAAAAAAAGAAAATTAATTCTTGTTTTTGTTTTCAAAATCGAAATATTTTTCTTACGACTGATTTGTTAGAAAAAGACTATGTTTAACATATTGATAGTCATGACAACGACCAATCATTATTTCTTTAAGACCACAAGTTGTTCCATTAGTTTTTATATATGTACCGTTACATGGATTAAATACATTTTGATTAGTAACTATTGTAGGTGTTGTTCTACTTCTATTAACATTTGCCAGTGGTTTAAGACGCGGTCGATTACTACGAATTTTATCACTCAAATGAGGTGCTTCTAAATGAATATCTTTTGACTGTGTTTTATTGAACGATGTCACACTATTGACATTCATTATTATTAATAATAGAAAGGAAATAACTAAAAGACCATAAGTATTTTTATTCTTTTTATCTGTATTTCAACAACGGACTTACCGTAAACTTGGCAGTGGAACATTCTCTTATGATAGCACGTCGTTATACATTCATTATTCAAACCAACAAATATATGCTAATAATAAAAAAAAACAAATTCAAGATAATTTTATGATAAAATTATATAACGTGATAAACATTATAATTATTCACTTTTTTTAGACACACAAGATAAGGTAAATACAGTAGAAAAAAAAACGAAGTTTATAGTAGTGAACAAAAGTCTCCAATCCCCGTGTCTCGGCTATTTTACATACTAGAAGTCTCAAAAATTTGTACGTATATACTGTACTAAGAATTTAGTTCAGAAACACGAGATCACACCGATTGCTTAAATACAACAAGAATTATGATGAAGGACACGTATTTTCGCTTCAAGTTTTTAATCAAAAAAAGGTTCTCTACTAAATTTTTTGTTACCTGTTATCAAACACATGATTAATTTTTGACATTTTAGCGTGCAAGTAGAGTCTAGTCTATGTTCTTTTTTTTAATCAAAAGATCAGATGATTTAATTGAAGATTGCTGTCTCTGAGTTCTCTGTACCAGCACGATGATTACTCTAGTGGGCTTTTCATATAGTGGAAGGTTGTATCATGAAACTTTATCTATATACAAAGCTCGATTCACTAAACTATTATTGATTTATAGTCTCCAAAGACCAGCAGATAGCTCTACCCTTCATCAGAATAGTCACGAAAAAATGACTATATTTCCAGGAAGAGTTGGTGAACATCGATGAAATTACTATAGTAGATAACCAGAATAAACCACTAAATAATGAAGAATGGGTTGACTCACAAAGTTCTTCTTTTTCAAAGTTATGAAATTAAAAGGGTAAATATATGCGATCCATTGCCATCTATCATAATTCTCGTTTGATTTAAACAATCAAGGTAAGTTCGTATCTCAGACTTATATTCTTAGTGAAGAATATACACACAAATTTTTAGACCTAGAGTATATATAGTAGCCGAAATATGAAGGGAGGGTGCGAGATGCTTTTATCTACTACTGTACGTCAGCTGTTATTGTGTTGGCAAAATTACGAAATAAAAGTTATAAATCTGATAATATGAGATGATGGACAAAGTAAATAGAAAATGACAAAGATCTTATGTCTTTCTTTTTTTTTTGTCATTATTTTTATCGTATCAATATAGTTGATTACTAACTATGTACGAAAACTGGAGAAAACTATGTCTGAATTTGCTGATAGCAACTATAAAGAGAATGACATAATTAATTCATTGTTATGTGGACCAAATCTATTCGTTTTTTTTATTTTTCGAATCTAATTTTTTTAAACATCGACATTCGTTCTTATAAAAACAAGCATTTTTTTCCATTAATCTTTTGTTTGCATAACCAATGACAAAAACTATTCTTTCCTTATCCATGAACAAAACGTCAGCTAACTATGGTAACAAAGAACTGACATCTAAATTCAATTTATATCTAAGCTATCAATCATGAATAGACGTACGACAATATTATATTAGGGTTAGCATTAGAATTCATTCATAGTAATGCTAATGCGTAAGGGCATTATTATTAAAATTGATTTTAATGCTTTGTTATTATTTTGCATTAGAATTAATTAATGGTAATGTATTAACATTAAATTAACATTGTTTGCAAGTCTAATACATCGATTATCTGTGGTTTGACATCTGACAGCTCAACCTCAAAAGCACCTGATTACAGAATGCTTTTATTCTATGATGAGAAAACAAGTTTCAATAATAGAATAAAAGCAGTCTGTTATTGAAAACTTTTATGCTTGAACCATCACAAGTCTAATCACAGCTAAAAAAAAATCTATCGAAGTTAAAAGTAATGCTCATATAATTCTAATAACAAATAATAACTAAGCATTGGAGTTAATCTGAATACTAATGCCTAGAAATTATCATTTTTTTTCAATATTCATGCTAATACGACACTCCTAGTCTCAAAAGATTTTGTTCGCATAAACAGAACAAAGTTGTACTATTATTGAAAG